AAGCATACACAGATAAATGATATATAGCTCCTGTTCTCAAGGACCTGTTATTCTGGTGAGCAAGATAGATAATCACGTAATTAGACTATGGTGGACCAACTACAATAGTGGAGGTAATCTGGGGGTACTTTGAAAATACAGAGAGTGGACACTTAATTCAGACATGAAGAGTCACAGAAGATTTCCTGTGAAGGAGGTAAGAGCTAAGTTGAGTCCCAAACAACAAATAATTGAAGGTGCAGTGGCAGGGGTTGAGGTGCACATTAGTGGGTAGCCAGGCAGAGAAGCCTATTAGGCTTCAGATATAAAGGTCCAGACCTTTGAAAATATATGCTTTTGTTTGCACAGTCTTTTACCTGTAAGTGGCTCAACACGGCGCCTCTCTAAAGCACAGCTGCTGAAGTGCCACGTTAACATCTTCGTTCTCCAGACCTGCCTCCTTGACATACAGCCAATCATAAATTATCAGTGATTGCCATTTTCCCTAGCATGGCCCTTCATAACTCTGCTGGGTCACTGTCTCAAATGACTTTCTTACTCTTCACATACAAACGCTGAGAGAGAGTATGTCAGTCGTGGAGCATAAGGGAAGACAGCCACTAATGCTGCCTCACATCTCTTAATTGTGTGCACTTCACGATAGAACAGGTGCCTATTCTGTTTTGGAATCTGACAGAATCCCACCTCATTCTTGCTATGTTTCTGATGTAACATTATCATACTTCCCTGTAAAAACAAGAGGAAACCATTGCTTTACATATATTTATGTAATGAGAGAGAGAGAAGTACATATACTTTATATATAAATGCATACACACACTTTGAATAATTATAAAGGCAGTGTTAATTAAAATACACTTAATTTTCAAAATTGAGCCACCAGCTGTTACAGTGTGTATACATTTTTTTGAGACACTCTGCATATATATCACAAATTATCAGTGATTTCTATCTATACAGTAAATCCACAGAAAGAAAATTGCACCACGAATAATGCTGCAGCGAACTTAGGGGTGCATATGTTTTGTGAATAAATGTTTTTGAGTTTTTTGGTAGATAGCCAAAAGAAGGATTTCTGGTTCACAGGGTAACCCTATTCTTAATTTTTTGAGGAGCTGCCATACTGTTTTCCATAGTGGTTGTAACAGTGTCCATTCCCACTATCAGTGAATGAGGGTTCCTTTTTCTCCACAACCTCTCTGACACTTGTTATTACTTATCTTGTCGATAACAGCCATTCTAACAGGTGTGAGATGGTATCTCATTGTAGTTTTGATTTGAATTTCTCTAATAACTGGTGAAGTTGAACATCTTTCTTGGCCATTTGTACATCTTCTTGGGAAAGGTGTTTGCTCAGGTTATCTACACATTTTTTAATTGGATGGTTCGGTATTGAGTCATATGAGTTCTTCATATATTTTGTTTAGTAACCCCTTGTCACAGCTGCTGTTTTCAAATATCTTCTTCCATTCAGTTAGTTGCCTTTTCGTTTTGTTGGTGGTTTATTTTGCTGTGCAAAAGCTTTTTGTTTTTATATAGTCAATTTATTTATTTTTGCCTGTACTTCCCTTGCCTTTGGGGTCAAATTCATAAAGTTTTCTCTCCAAGAAAGATCTATAAGTTTATTACCTATAGTTTTTTTATGTAATTTATTGTTTCATATCTTATACACAGGGCTTTGATACATATTGAATTAATTTTTGTATATGGGGCAAAACTGTAGTCTAGATTCATTCTTTTGCATGTGGATTTCCAATTTTCCTAGCATAATTTAATGAAGATATTTTCTTTTCTCCATGTGTTTTTTGGCTCCTTTGTCAAAAATTATTTACTCCATAACATGGTGACAAAGACATAGATAAAGCCAAAGTGTCCTTCAATAGAGGATTGGATAAAGAAGACATGGCATGTATATAATATGGAATACTACTCAGCCATATGAAAAGACTGCCATTTCTGACATGGATGGGCCCTGAGAATATTATACTATGCAAAGTATATCAATCAGAAAAAGCTAAGAGCCATATGATTTCACTCATATGTGGGATATAAAACTGAAATTCATAGACACAGACAATAATATGGTGGTTGTCAGAGGGAAGGGGGTGGGGAGAGGAAAAGAAAAAGGGGACTTAATATATGGTGACTGAAGATGATTTGACTTTTAGAAGTGGTCACATAATGCAATATAAAGATAATATATCATAGAAATGTACACTTGAAACCTATATGACCTTATTAATTAATCAATGTCACCTCAATAAATTTAATACAATCTTAAAAAATAGCAAAATTTGAATTTCTCAACTTTTAGCTATGTTCACAAAGTATACTGTTTTCATTGTACTGATAACTATGAGTTAAAAATATTTCTTATATTTACTAATATCCTTGCTTAAAAATAGTGATTAAAGTAGCATTCACCTTGGTTCTCAAAAAATAAGTGGATTACTGAGTAGAATATACTTTTAAAATTGGCTAACAACGAGTCAGCTTTAGCTCATGGCAGACACAAAAACTGCATAACAAGCAATTATAACTGTTCTAAAAATATCTTCTGCTTCATAGATATTGTTTGGAGAAAGGTCCATATTATACATTCAAACAAGAGGGTATGGGGCGATAAATGATGGGGGGAAAATCCTTTTCTCTTTCTACTTTTGATTCCTGTGAAAATTGTCAACCATGCTTCCAGACAAGAACACAAAAGATTTCTGATTGAGCTTTGTTCACAATGAAAGAGGTGGGAAGAAGAGCCATAATATGAGTTTCAAAGTTAGAAGATTCTAACTCAAATCTCAGTTCTTCCTTTACTAACTCTCTTTTCTCCTCTAGACAATAGAGCTAATAATCATGATCTACCCAAATATTCTAGAGTCTGGGTTCTTTGAAGGATATAAACCACCACAAACATATAATAATCTAGTATAATTATTATTAATAATATAAATGGTTTTCTAGGAAAATGTTGACAGTGACTTTTATGAAATTACCATAGGAAATCTCTTTGGAAGAGTTCAGCACTGGGACGGAAAAGCCTTTAGAGAAAGGGTTAGAGTAATTAAAACTGCAGTTTAGTGGAAAAAAAAAAAAAAGAAGAAATCCTCCTATGATCCTAGAAATTAATTTTGTTACAAGATGACAGAGAGTCCCTTGTGATGACTTAATTTTTAACATACTATCAAAAGGGCTCTCTGTCTAATAAATACCTTTGATGTAATATATAGAGAAAATTATTACTTAATATAGTTCTTTACTATATTCTTCACCTTAACCAAAAAGTATTTTCATTGGAAAAGTACAAGTTTATTTTATTCCAAGAAAGGAAAAAAAAAAAGAACTTCTATTACTAGAATTATTCCTTGGATATTCTCAAATGTATCATAAGATTAATTACAATGTATAATACAGAAACAAACAAAAGATAAGTTAGTACATGAGTAAGCCCTACACAATATTATAAGCCATCATGACACTATTTTTATCTTAAAAAACCCTTTATGAACATATGCTTCCTACTTTTTTGTTTTACAATTCTTTAGAACTTAGAGGTATATGTAAGACACTTTGATAACTGAAAAAAGTGACTTAGAGAGTAGTGTTAAATTGATCACAATTATAAAGAGGCAACTCTCTGATTGTGTTCCTTTTAGGTCTGTACATAACATACTTCTGGAAGGGAATAAGTTTGTTTGCAGGAGTAGAGAATAATGAATGTCATATTTTGCTCTTTAAATTTTTTTATCTTTATTGTTGAAAGTATTACAGATGCCCCCTTAAGCTCCCCATTGACTGCCTCCACCCTGCTCCTACCGCCTCCCCAAGCCTTCACAGCACTGTTGCCTGTGTCCATGGGTTATGCATATATGTATTTGCTCTTTGGATATTAATGTCTTATTTGAATCTTAGAAATAAGTATCTATGTATTACTTGTATTAAAAAATACAGAGGTGAACTACAACAGGAGTCATTTGTACCTACCCACATCACCAATGCTACCTCCTGACAACAACTGAATTTGTGCAATAGCTACAAACGCTGTCTTCCAAAGACACATTAATCAGAACACTAACACCAGATAAATGTTTTTAGAAGTAAATAACTGAATTTAGTGATATTTGGAATATGCCACCTGTGTTTCAACAGAGTCTACAAAAGTCATGCTTGAGTTCAAGCTCCCTGAAATGGCACAGTCTTTGGGGTCACTTCTGATGGAGTAATGTGACCAGGGCAGGTGTGATCTATATTACTGAGCTATTCCTCTGCACTACAAATGATGCTTACCTCTTAATGCCTTTTTTAAAGTACAGTCTGCTTTGTCCCTGAAAAACCCAAAGAAGAAAAAACCATTCGACTGTTTACTTGGTAAGTCAAGGCCAGCTCTCCTTAAAAAGTTGGCTGATCCCCTAACTGCTAATTACCTTACCAATGCAAAGCCACAACAGAAGGCCTGTCAGCAGATTTTATTTACAGCCCTGAGAAATCATCCTCTTGCTGTTTTCATTTCATACAAAAGATAAGTTTGCAAAAGGAAATATTTGGCAGTACCGCATAATCCACAAAAGGCTTCAAATAAAAATTCTGTTTGTATAGAGTATTCATCTAAAATATCTCCCAAATAAAAATATACCCAGAGAGATAAAGCATACACCTTTTTTTTCTTTCTTTGTAGTAGAAGGGAAAAATCAATGTAGCTCATAGCTCTAAATTGAGCATGTGAACAGCATCCCAGAAATAATATGGGTTCTCACACCACTGAAAAGTTATCAAAATTGTTCAAAGCAACAAGTGAAAAATCTGTCTGTGGAAATACTTGTAAAATAAATATGTTGGCTATTATTTGGACTTATTCCCACGGGTGACACATTATCTTCCATAATACAACTGAGCAGTATAACCAACATATGGTCTAAAATCACACACTTTAGAAACAGGCCATACCAATTGCCTCTTCACAAAAGAAACAGAGGAGGACACAAAATAAAAACGCATTTACTCACTGTGTTAAAATTTGGGAAGAGTCCAACAGCAGAACTGCTGTCCACTGGAAAAGACATAAACGGTTTGATGTCCAGTGAAGGCTGCATCATCAGCGTAGGTGTGCGCACAAGAGCAGGAAGGGTAGTAGTGTGGCATGTACTGCCTGCCAAGAACAAAACAAAAATAAATTCAATCTCTTGCCCACATCCATCTCCTTCTCCAACCTAGGGCGCAAAAATAAGACCACCGAGCGGCAACCTGCAAGCAAGAAAGGTACTCTAGAAGTAAGAAAATGGCACAAGAGGAGAGAATACTGTCAAAACGGGTTTCTTGGTCATGGTCTAAGACAGTGATGCAAAATGCTTCCCTGTAGCAAGAGTCCAGGCTGCTCGGTCTCCCCTGAGATAAACAGTACACTGATCCTGCTGGCAGGTGGGGCAGAATGAGATCATCCTGTTGTCTAACCATTGTCTCCGATTAGCCAAAAATGTAGGAGCAGCGGGGAGGAGCCTCTTGAAGCCAGATGCTCTTCACTATACAGTTATTTGGTGACTCGTTGGCATGCTTTATGCAAATCAGAGATGATTATAGGCTTCTTACAAGGGGAAGGAATCTTGGATTCTTATAGTGACTGTCTGCTCCTAAGAACAATTTGTTCTCTAAAAAAAAAACAAGCTGAAAATTGACCTTTACTTTGTGGGAAAGTGGTAGTTAGTGAGGGGTTAAAGGGGTTATTACAACCTGGGTCTGTCCCACAGAGAGGAGTTGGGACAGGAACTCAAATTTTTATCTTCAACCTTTATTTCTAATGAAACTTGTATTATTTTAGCAGTTATCCCTTTTAACAATGATATTGGCTATGATGTTTTTAGCCATCATGCACTCCTCTCCGGTAGTTAGTGTTCTTCCTTAACTGGTGGCCACCACGTTCTGCAGGTGAGCCACTGCTGGTGCAGGCGGTGCTCTGCCAGAGAGGTTCTAGCACCGCATGCCTTTAACGAATTTGTAGCAGCTTTTTTGAGACTTATTTCACACCCCGGACAATTCAACCACTTAAAGTGTACAATTCAATGGTTTATTCATTATGGTCAGAGTTGTGCAACCATCACCACAATTTTCGAACATTTCATAATTCCTAAAAGAAACTCCATACCCATTAGCAGTCACTCCTTATTTCCTCCCGTCACCCCCAGTTCCTGGCAGCCACTAATCTATTTTCTGCCTCTATATATTTGTCTATTCTGGGCATTTGATTTAAATGACATCATACAATATGAGGTCTTTTGTGACTGTCCTTTTTTCACATGGCATAATGTGTTCCAAGTTCTTCAATGCTGTCTTCTATATCTGAATTTCATTGCTTTTTAAGGCCAGCTAATATTCCACTGTAGAGTTACCACCTTTTGCTTATTCATCCAACAGTTGATGGGCATTTGGGTTGTTTCTGTAATACTTTTTAGTTAGTCTCTTAATAAAGTGGCTATAAACACTTGTTTCCAAGTTTTCATATACTTTTTGTTTTTTAGGTATTTACCTATGAGTGGAATTGGGGATTGTTAAGTCATATGGTAACCATATGGTTTAACCTTTTGAGAACTTCCAGACTATTTTCCAAAAACAGCTGAACTATTTTACATTGACACCAGCAGTGTATGCAGGTGTGGGGAACCTCTAGTCCATTGGGCCATATAAGGCCTGTGAAATCATTTGGTCTGGCCCTGCCAAGATATCAGAGGTGAATTAATTAAATGTTTGGCCATATATAGCAGGCTATTTTTTTTAAAAAAAAATATGTATATTATTGATTTTTTTTCAGAGAGGAAAGGAGAAGGATAGAGAGCTAGAAACATCAATCAACTGCCTCTTGCACATCCCCTATTGGGGATGTGCCCACAACCAAGGTACATGCCTTTGACTGGAATTGAACCTGGTACCCTTTAGTCCACAGGATGACGTCTATCCACTGAGCCAAACCGGTCAGGGGAGCAGGCTATTTTTCAATTGATAATTTTATATGGCCCATGAATGATATTATAAATATCCAAATGGCCCTTGGCAGAAAAATGTTCCTCATCCCTGGAAGGATTCCAATTTCTCCTGTATGCCTATATAGGACCCCAAATTATTATATGCATATAATTCCTTTCTTACTTACAAGAAATGAACAGTATTGGAAAATACTCCCAACTATTAAAATTTTCACCAAATGTTCTGATATAATGTCCCAGAATAATTAAAATTCCTATTTCAATGATATTTTTTGTAATGAATTTCCTTAATGAACTCTGTATCCTATTTTGAGTCATTGCAGAACATTACTGCCAAAATATTACATGGTGTTTAATAAGACTGTCATACCTCATTTATATTGATCTTAAAAACAGAAAAAAGAGAAAAGCACCTGAAGCATTTATCCGTAATGACAAATCTTCATGCAAGTCAACCCCATCCATTAGGAAATAAAAAGTCAGCAAAAAGAGAATCTGCCAAAAGTATAGATCGAACAGTAATAGTTGTTTTCTTGATGCCAAAGTAAGGACTCTGATTTCAGCCTGGCATCCAGGTAAGCAGCCTGTATTTAATTATAGTTATTCTCCTACATAGGTAAAATTACACTCATTGCTAACTTTCAGAACTTGTAGATACAAGATGATTATATCAATATGTCAAATGTTGAAAAGGCACTTATTAAAATTAAAAGCTTTGCTGTAAAATCTTAGCCAAGTTGAAAACAGATTCATTAGATCAACAGCCTTTGACAATTTACACTCATTATCATTGTTAAAGTCTAAAATATAAACTTTCTACAGAATTATTCTATTTAAAGCTGCCTCATGAACAAATGCATAATTATTTTGCCATGATGGGTCTCCTTTCAGAAAAGAAAATTCTAACCCCATGATGGCGGCTGGATAATGACTAGGTAATACAAGGCCCCAAAGGGCCTGGCAAGAGTACTAACAAACTAAAATCAAACAGAATGGAACATGGAACTTGACAAACAGATTGCTCCATCAACAAAGGTCAGAATGTACAATGATCCCCTTATCCAATCAAATTTCTATGCTAATAAACTCAAGGCTTGAGAGCTACTAAACTGCCACCGTTCATTAGCATAAAAAACTTAGCAGCTGTTTACCATTTCATTAGCATTTTAATGACAGACAATTTGCCATGTTAAACACAGATTGTTTTAAAGTACTTCTGAATAAATATAAACTATGTTTTCATCAATTCCCTCACCTTAGCCTTGCTGTTTTTACTTTTAAAACCTGCTTTTACTATTGCCTCACCAAGGTTGATTGCTTCAAAGTGAGTTTTTGCAAATGGGAAATGAATGGGACAGAGTGCATTTACTGCAGTTTTGAACACTTTGTCACCTTATTCCAGATTTTGCTGCTGCAGCTACTTTTAGGAAACATTTCTCTTCACCTTGGGATACCCAAAAGTCACTGGGAAATACAAGCAGAAAATAGGCCAAATTGCATTGCACCCCACAAAAAAATGCTTAATTTACGTAAAACTAAGACTCACTGCGGATAAAAAAATATTGAAAATATAATGAGCAGGTATTTGAATACAAAGGTTGGTGTAGTGTACCCTATTGTCATAAAACAGGACCAACCTTTGTTGCTTAAACTATTTGGCGATATGATATGAGACACCTCCTCTATGTGGCTCTGTTTGAATGCCTAGGATATAATCTCATATCTATCATACTGAATCAAGTAATAATAGGGCTCCACTTTATTTGATAATAGGCTTTTTATATTAGTTGATGTATATATATTTATCAAACTCCCTGTATGAAAATTAAATACAACATACAAGCATACATACATCAAAGATCTAACATGGAAATGACACATGTCCTTGTAGTCGCCCATAAGAATGTAATTAACCCTCTCTAATAAATTTTATTTTGATAGTAAAATCTAAGTTGTAATCATTTATAGCTAGGAAATCAATAATATCTGAAAGAACTCATCGCTATGATCATAAAGAAAACTATTATTTCAGTCAAGTGCCTCTATAACATAATAGGTGCCTTATGTCAACGTATTGTGTCGCAATCCATCACAATGAAACCTCATTTAAGAACAAGGTGACACTTGAAATTATTGACTTAGTCTTTGACCTTTAGGAATATAATTTTGAAGGCCTAATTTAGATTATAGCTGTGAGGATTCCTAGTGGCTCTTCTTTCTATACCATAACACAAACAAAAAACACACCTCATTCTTAAAAAGGGGAATATGCTAAAATCATAGAAAGTCTATGTGGAGAAGCATTTATAGAGTTAGATCATATGTGTATATATTCTATATTCTGCAGAAGTAGTTTCTTCTTATACCATAAGTATATATATCTGCTTAATGAGTACTGAAATAAAAACAACAAATCAATATCTATTAGTCAAATTATAAGACTATCAAAGATTTCTTTAATGAAAGTAAATAAGTGGCATTTCAGATTTTTTTTTTTACCAGTTTTCTCTTTTTATTGCTTTTCCAACTTTATTGCCACTTATTCTAAGTAACTTTTCCTCTGATCAGTACAATCTCCAAACAGCATCTCCTTCACCTCTTCTCTCATTATTTCTATTATCAGTCTGCATGTGAGGAAAACAAATTCACCAAGAAACCATAAAACATGGCAAGTAGGGGGGGACTATGTGATAGGGATGTGACTGATAAAGGGGTTTGCTTCTAAAAATGCCACACAATAACATTTTCAAAGTGTATATTGTGTGCCAGCACTACTCAAAGCATATTACATATGTGTACTACCCTAAACATGTTACATAACTGTATATATGCATGCACACATATAAGTGTATATATAATTATATATAAGTATATATACATATATAATCACAATAAACCATCAAACAAAGTACTATTATTAGCCTAATTTTTACAGATGAAAAACTAACATGGTTAAGTCCAACCTCATCCATCAGAACATCTTTGTGACTTTGGAGTAAGCAAAGATTTCTTAAATAGGAAACAAAGGATGCTAATAAAAATTAGTAAGCATACTCTATTCTTAAGAATAAAAATGTAAGAATAAAATACTATCAAGGGAATGGAAAGGCCACCCATATAGTGGGAGATGGTATCTACACTAATAAAAGGGAAACATTAAATTAACCATCACTCA